TAATCCAAACGGTCAATTTCAGTATCTCCTGTGTTGGAGAGGAACATTTTGTTTTGTTCCGTGGCTGCGATCTTCGCGCGAGCCACGTCACAGGCCCTGTCCCATGTGAGCTTTTCTGCGTTCTCCATTAAGAGACTCTTTCTGATCCGAGAAGCCGTGAGACCAGAAACCAATTGCTGTATTAGCATGGTTTCTTCCACTTTTTTTCTTGGGAATGCTATCGTACTCACACTTTCGAAGAGAACAAACAAGACAGGGAATGAATGCATCCACTGATTCACCGGCTGCTTGTTTCAGCTGCGAACAATTTTACTCGAACACCCCAATGTTTATCGAGGACCGATAAAATCTTTGTGAACATGGGTTTCACCCTCAAGTTTAGAGCATCAAATATACGTCAACCATCTGAGCCGCGGTGTAAGCGCAAATGTTTTAAAGTATCTTCCCTTTTCAACGTCACGGATGGATTGAGAAGCGGTAGCACAGAAATATAGTCAGAAAATCTACTTTTCCAGTAGTCCCAGCATTCTGTATTTGGGCTAACCGCAGAGTCAGTCTAGAACGTTGAAGCGGGAACAGCATGCGAATCCATCGGTAACACGCGACGACAATTTATTGTATCCCGAAAAAGCAACAGACCAGAGCAGCACCGGAACGCATGTATGGAGGAAGCTGTCCACACACAAGCGCAGTACACTTAAATCGATGGAGGTACGCATTGCAACCAATAAAATTCTAGATCGCATGATAGACCAACGAGTGCTAAATAGAAGTGTGAGTAGGATAAGTAAATCCAGGGCAAAACCAAAGCAAATTATTTGAACACGACACACCGCCTTCCGCTTTCTACATCTGTGTTGAAGAGAGTTTTCGGCCATTTGTTTTGTAACCGGAAACGAGCTCGCTGGCTGTCCAGCGAAAGCCCGCTGCACAGCTTCTGCTCAGGCTTGTTTCTGCTTTCTTACCACACCGTGGGAACTTTTGAAACTCATAAATAAGTCCGGGTATCATTAACAATGTAGCAATACATACACTGGGCGGTCATTTAACCGCATACAAAACTCCACTCACTGTGCACTTGTTGTTTGTATACACTGGCCCGTTCTTTATTCTCTATCCTTGACGACGTTTCAGCTGCATTCTCCTACGTCTGCGCCTCAATCGCTCTAAGCCGAACTACGTTTGATTTACTCCAGTGCTGTTTTACTTACTGATCAAGGCTTAGGAGGTTCCTAATTGACTTCTTGTCCGATGAATCGGATTCTGCTCCTCTGCAGCTATTGGATTTTTGGAAAGACTTTTGTGTTGGACAGTTCACGAGAAGTTATAACAGGTGAAACTCCTGTATGGATAACTGGAGTGTGGATTACAAACTAAAGTTAGAACTGACACGAAAATGAAGGAAACTGCGGGGTTTTGGGTGACTCATCAACCTGTGCACCTGCACGTTGATGTCGGTTTCTCCACCGCTCCGTTACTGAAGGGGTTGGTGAGTGCACCATTTGATTCACCTCATTTCATTTTCTCACAGCAACGGAATATGTATGACGAAATGCAAGTAGGATAACGTGTTGTCAAGAAGCGTCTTTTGCAACTCGTTAATGGCGGTAAGCGGCAAAACTGACTGTTCGGAATACCCAAAGGGAGCAAACTATTCGTCGCTAATCAACTTGACTGCGGTGTATCGCAAGTTTGGGCTGGCGGGCTCTCAGTTTACTATCCTCGCTGAGTTGCAACAGATCGTGACATCCATGATTGGGGCCCGTCACTACCGTGAAACCTGCGTAAGTTGACCACTTAAGACCTCGACCAGGGTGGTTAACTTACAGTGATAATCAACACACAGGGATCTGGATCCATTTGCTTACATTTTGGACATTCAACCAATGAAGAGCTGACGGTCAATCTAACGAGATGCTCAGGATGTGTACTTGGTCAATTTCGGTTTTACCGTATAAGGTACACCGTGATGAGCACCCGTCGTAGGCGCCGATATTCACTGCTGTGCAATCCCAGTGCTTGCAGTCTGAGTTGGTCTGAAAGTGCAACAAATCCCAAGTGACTTCTATTGCACTACGTTGGGGAACTTCAGGCGCGTCAACACCGTGTTCGCGCCAGGGGACACCAGACTTGGATAGCACGTTCTACATGACGCCTTAAGTAGACGTTCAGAAGTTGGTGAAAAGTAAAGGGTTCAAACTTCCCCAACAACCTCTGTGTAAGTCCAAGCGGTTAGCTTGCTCTTCTTGATACTATATTGGCCTGTTTTGAGCATCAAAGTTTATCCGGGATCGATTCTATGGGATACAAGTTACAGCAGTTGTTCCACAACTCAGTTTTCACGTGGATGGTATATGCTTAAAATTTCGCACTTCACCACCGTAAACTGGATCCTTTTCTCGGATGGCCACGGATAGACTCTATCAAGATCCCTCCGTAGTGCCGTGTAATCGTCCAGGATGATGATACTATGCCGGATCTTGTTTGACTGGAGTACACCGGTAACAGTGTTTATGAAGACCAAGCATAGACTTCGTCCCAATACCAATTCTTTGGGTAGATCACACCGGATTTCAATTGCGTGGGAAATGGATTTGCGGACACGTACGTTTAACAGAAATAATGTGAGAAATTTGTTTACCTATCAGAGGACAGGGTCACCGGTTCCGTAGCCTGAAGTTTGCATAGGAGAATGCAGTAGTCCAGGTGGTCGAATGCTTTAACAAAGTCTAGCTATACGACATCGACTTCTACTCTGTTATCGACAGATTCTGTCTGATTTTATGGAGCTAGCAGCAAGTTAATAATGCATGAATGATTTCGGCGAAAGCCATGCTGCTAAGTTATAATCATGTGGTTAATCTCAAGGTATCCTATGAGCGCCTATGCGAAGATACCTTTCACAAGTTTGGATAGCACCTGCAGAAGTGTTATTGCGATGTATTTCGATGGCTCCTTGTAAATAGGGGGTGACTATTTCATGCTTTCACATTGATACTTTGTCCGAAGCAGCTATTTTATTATATGGTACATTTCTGAGCGACAAAAACTGTCTACTCTACTGTAGTTAAACGTAACCTCTGTCTACACATATTCGATGGCATCTGGTGTCCGCTGGAGCTTTCTCCGTGCAGTCGTTTCTTTACATATCGTACTCCGGGAACTGAATTCATAGCCTGTCTTAAAGTTGCTGTACATGTACCCGGTTACTCGTACTCGATCCATTCGTAAAGTGCCCGCTCAGTTCAAAAAAGACGCTCATTAAAGTGTCAACGCTTTCAAATGCTATGCCACCTCCATATTTTTGTACGAAATGGAAAAATGGTGAATCTAATTTAGGTTATCACGTTTCGTATGGCGGTGTCACGATGCATTTATCATTGGTAGGCGTAGTGATTTACACAGTAATACGTGATAGTTCGGGGTCAAAGTCTGGGTTCGCTTTCATCAATCATTTCAAACGAGTTTACCTTCCACGGATATTTTAAACCAGTGTTTTACCAATTGTGTCTTCATCGAACTTTGAAGATCAACCATGACAACGTCAGTGTTTAGAAGCACTCTTATGATTGTCATTCAACAACGTGTGCATCTGAGGTGATAAATGTCTCCGAAAAGCTGCCTGTCCCTTGAATTTTTACAGCCGCTCATGAAGGCACTGTGGATTCCCTTGTATGCCTTAGCACCCCACGTTGGATACCGTATCATATATTGTTTGTTCCAAGGCATCTGCATTAAGAGAAATACGTTAACCCCATAATACGTCTTTTCTTTGAATATTCAAATGATTTCAGAAGCTTCGATGGATCAACTTTCGCTCAATTTGTTGCTGGAAAATGGAATTCACCTGGCTGTTTACAATTTGCTCTGTGATTACCCAATTAATCGCATTTAACTCATCTAGATAAACGGGCTTTGCTGACTGTCATGTTATGCAGCAAACACTCTTACAATATTTTCTAGTTTGTTTGTATGTCCAGCGTTTCGCTATAAGACCTACGCATTTCGGATGCAACTATGCCGGTAACGTCGTTGCGGCGTGTAGGATTCCTATCACGGAAGAACCTACTGTACTTCAACCTAGAGTAGAAGAGGCAATACGTTGGCTATCATCTAAATGCCTTGCTCTTAATACTTTTCGTTGTACTGCTAAGCCGCAGCATATTAAAATACTCCCCTCCCCGACTGTGGGCGACAGTACCAAGCGTCGCTCATCCACCACCAAGTATCTCGGTATTTTAAAGTCTATGTTGGTGTTTAAGCTGTCAGTCTTTTCCTCTACTCTGCATTTTTATACTTATATTGGTGACTTATTGCACTGTGCCCCTTGGTATTACTGCTCATCTGTCACTTACACTGTACAGCTTTACAGAAATTACATCTTGTGATTGCGATGCATGAAGCGTAGCTCTAGATGCACTGGTGCTTTTAGCGGCTTCTTAGTTGATTTAATTGTTATTAGCAACCATGTGCTATATTCTTTTGCCATAAGAGTCATGAATGACCGTTTGCATCTACACACAGTTTTACAAAATCGCTCTGTTTTACCTTCATGCGTTCGAAGTTTAAAGGTTTCTTTTCTTTCACCTCGTTGTATCGTGCCACCAACCTTCAGTCACTAGCAGGCATAATTGTCGAACCAAAGAAACCCATAAGAATACCCCATGATTGGCTGCTGGTGCGGCAATTGCTTGCGTGCTCCTCTTCATCCATTAAGGTTGCGTCGTTTATGAGTCTCATTGTTGAGCACATCCTCAGTGATAGTGTAGACGCTGAAAAGGGATCACCTTGTGTACATAAAGCCTATTTTGACTTTGTTATACTCGACAACAGGTCGTCATGCATCATGTGATCTGGGCGTTTACCTGGAGATAGTGCCACCGAACGACTACCGCAAGTGGCGGTTATGGTGATGACAGATTGAAGAGACTTCTAATTGTCTTGTTAACCCCTGGGATTGTTTGTACAGGTGTCCATATGCTTGCTTTCTCTTTGTCTAGATTCTCCTACATCTTGAACTTTGGCCAAGGAGCAAAGCGGCTCATCCAGATTTCATTCACCTCTTCAACTTTGTGCAACTACCAACACGGGGACCACCTTCGTGGACTTCGCATTAAGTTTGGTATGAAGCCCCTTCATGTACGTGTATCTGAGTTCCCTGGTGAAAACTGACGCCCAATATCCTTTTACACGCTCTGATAGAGCCGTTGGCACAATCTTACGTGCACACAGTTTCGTGAACTATTTATCCACAGTTTTCCACCCCCTCGCGAGAGATCAACAGCCGAGAGTCCACCTGCAAACTCGTACCCACACCTCTGAGCTGATGACGTTGCTTTCGTCTATTGTGGATCCAACATGCTCCAACTCATCCCCCCATCGTTTAGCTCTTGTTCAGTCTATAAGCCGAGGATAACCTCATTCTCATCGCTCACCATCATTGCAACCTGATTATGCCTTGGTTTCTCTCCACAAACACACACACACGCAGATGTTAGTCCGTCTGAGGCCCTGAACAGATCCGGCAGTCGCCAACTTCCCCAATGCGTCCCTTCCGCCATCGCGCCAATACGCTCGCTAGCTTGCTTGTCAATTGATGTTTGCATGACGAGTGAAAGCGAAGTGTTCGAACGCAGAGTTTCAACTACGTACATTTATGCGATATTTGAGTCCTCTTTGGTCATTTTCGAATGGTTGGTTCCGAATTAACTGTAGTTGAACTACACCCATGGTATTTACGGCGTTACCTTCCCGTATTGCCAAAACGAGTGCAGATTTATGGTGGAGGTCATGAACAATGACCAATGATTTGTCACGGGCTAAAAGCAAGTGATTGACGCGTCCCGTAAGATGGTTGGAGTGAATATGATGAAATCAAAATATATCTGAGTCATCTACCGAAAGTCTGCCAAAATGAATCCATTGATAAATTATCTCGGTGTAAAATATATGAAAAAATCGAACGTAATGTGCAGAAATACACTGGGGTGCAGTGATTGTTGAGATAAGGCATGAGAAAAGTAAAATATGGTCGCTCACTTGGGTCCAGTTGATACATAAATATTGTAGAAAAGTATGCTTGGCCTAATCCACAATAGAGGAGTTAAGGTAGCAAAGTGCTGGGAGCTAAGAGCAACATCTAATCGTTTTTTGAAAACATCCAAGGTAGGATAGGATACAACTGAGTCTGGGCGTGCGTTCCAGGGTTGCCAAACCCGAAAGGAAAAGTAATTCCGTCGACACTCTAGACGGCTATATTGTGCCTTCAATTTTAACCAGCTACCCCTGAGCTGCGTGTTGTGGCTAAGTTTCAGGAAATGGTGGCATGCGTGGTTGGGGTCACTCAATATCTGATAAGCTAATATGAGATGGCCGCGCAACCTTCGATAGCGTCCGTTGAAAATTCCCAGCAACTTTAGCCTTCGGTGGTAAGAGTGATAGCGCAGGCCCTTTACATTCTTTGTTGCTTTTCGTTGTGGTGCCTCTAACGCCTCTAGGTCGCGTTTCAACCAAGGTTGACAAGCTTGGCTAGCGTATGCAACATGCGGGCGCACGTAGGAAGATTGATGGGTCAAATCTCCCGAACGCCCTTTGCAGCATGCTGGTTACCTCTTTTCACAGCTACCTCAGCCTGTTTGAACAGTTGAGGTCACCCTGTGCGAACACACTAAGGTCACATTCCTGGGAGCTGGTCCGCAATCCGTTTCTCCCAAGCAAATTTGTGTATTTATGTCTGTGGCGTAATTGTACAACGCGACATTTGTCTATGTTGAATGGTAGGGCGTTTTGAACTGACCAGTTGGACACTGTGCTAAGATCGCACTGGAGCCGTTCATGGTCGTCCGGTCCTCTGATCCTTCAGCATATCTTGAGATCATCAGCGAAGAATAGAAAATCGGAAGTAATTGATCTCGTCATATCGTTAATGAACACCAAGAATAGACCAGGTCCAAGCAACGAGCCTTATGGTACACCACACACCACGTTGGTTGCATCGGACAATGATTCGCGGACACTCACCACTAACCGTCGTTCGTCTTGAAAATTGCTAATCCTACTCAGGATTGGGTCGCCAATGTCGTAATTCCGAATCTTGTGAAGGAGAATGCGATGGTCTAAGCGATCAAATGCTGTTGAAAAGTCCAGGTAGATGACATCGACTCCCACTTCATCATCAACAGCTTCAGTCCAGCTATTACGTGCAATTAATGGGTTAGTATTACACGAATGCTTTTGACGAAAGCCATGTTGCTCTGGGGCTATTAAGTTGTGGCTTTCAGGATACCGCATCATTGCATCTGCCATGATTGATTCCTTTACTTTGGATGGTACAGGAAGTAGTGTTATTGGACGGTAGTTGGCAGGATCGGTGCGGCTACCTCCTTTATGGATAGGAGTGATGACCACTCGCTTCCTTCTTGGTCGAAGATGGTTCTCTTCTAGACATCACTGATAGAAAACAGCCAGTGATTCTGCTAGATCACTAGCTACCACCTGCTGAACCTTTGATCGGACGTTGTCTACTCCAGAAGAACTGTAGATAAGCATGGATAACAATTTCTTCAACACAGCTTTTGCTGTGAAGGTACCATTGTCTAAACCCGACAGTAGAGTAATAGAAACGAGGAGAAGAGTTGGGCTCGTTGCCTGCTGGAAAGCTTGGGAGTAATGAAGCTGTAGGTGATCGGCTGCTTTCATTGCTGATCGGGTGCATATATCAGCCGGGACTGGTGCTGGAATCCCTCGCTTCACCTTTCGAAGGCCGTTAACGTGCCTGTACAGAATTTTGCGGGTGTAGCAGAATCGTTTCATTAACTTCCGCTGATGAGTGTCCTTCTCTTCGCGGATCAGTTTCCCACAGAAGTTACAAGGTGTCACGGATGCAGTCCAGGTTTCGGCATTCGAGCAGTCCTTGTGAGCTCTTTATGCCAAATCACCTCGAGTTCTGCTCCTCAGAAATAACTTATACTTGTTTTTGAGTTGGAAGGATTTATGTTTCGACACGTGCACTACCAGTGGACCAAACGTCCTTGTAAATGTTTCCCAGACAAAATTTGGGGGGCATTTGATTAAGAAAGTCCGTGCTGTATCCTTAACAAGCGTAGATAACACATTGTAGTGCTTGACAGTATGAACTTTATCAGCCTCATTTTCGGGATACTCCGCATAATATTTTTAGTCAAAGAATAGTGTACTATAGTTACTACGACCCAGTGGTGTACTTGTAACTATCCCGTCAACCATAAGTGCTGCTTTAGTGAGCACAAGATGCAGTATTGATGGATTGTTTGTAGTTCAAAAGCTGGTGGTAGAGGTTACGTGGTGATACAGAGGGTGGCTGGCAAGTAGATTTTGCATACAGGCTTTACATTGCATACCGTCGCTTGCTGGCGTTTCTATGTTATGCACTTTAAAGTCTCTAGCGATAAGGATGTGGGTGTAGGACTTGTTCGAAGCAAACTGGAAAACCTAGTTCAGTTTGAAGTCCATTTCCGACATTGAGTTTAGTGCGCGCTAAATCATGCCTAGTAGGCATGTGTCCTCGTTTCGAAAAAGTAGACGGCACCACAGTGAATCAGGAGCTCGGATTTCCGGGTGATCTAGAACTTCACATCAGAAGTTTGTATTACAATAAAGAATCACACCATCACCTCTTCCGGTTCTATCGTTCCCAAGCAGCGACCTACCGGATAAATTGATTTCAGAATCGATTATCTCAAGATTTAACCAAGTCCCCGTAATCATGACGAGGTCCCGCGGTTGTGAGGCATGGAGTTCTCTGAGTTCGACCAAGTTATTTACAAGACCTTGGGCGTTTGTGTGCAAGCCAGATAGAGTTTTTTGTTGTTAGAATTGCGTTGATAGATGTTAATTTTGTGTTAGTTTGTAATCCGACCGTTAGGTTGCTGGCCATTATTCGTTTTTGGTTTATAAACTTCAGTCAAGTTGCATGGCATTATTGTGCCTTCCTGAACAGACGTTTTCCTCGTGCTGTGCTCTGTGCTGTTGTGTGCTGTGGGCGGTGTTGTGTCGGTATCTCCGCAGGACTGTGCAAAATAAAGAATTTGCAATGTTTGCAAGTTCCATCGAATGGCTTACGTCTCTTGGCCGTTCGTTTGCTGCATTAGCCGGATCACTGTTTGCAACTTGGCTCGAAGCTTTAACCAGTTATCCAATAAAACTTGCGACATTTCTTTGGAGTGTAATATTACTTTCAATAGTCTTGGACCTCAGACCTTGTTGTTAGGTGATGACGGAACTCTTGTCAAGGATTTGGCAATAACACGGTCAACAAAGAGTGCTTCGCGGATGTAGCACCACTGCTCTCGGTCATATGTTTGCACATCCTGATCAGAAGAAGGCAGAAGCTCGGGAACACCATGAACAAATATTGTTTGCTTGCTATCCCTATTAGGAATGCCGCGTTGGTTACTTTCTTCTTTTGGGAATCCTTCCAAGGTAGCTCGGGTAATATGCGCACTCCGCTCGGTGAGTTGCGAAGAGGAACTGCTGTGAACAGGACAGTCTCTGTCACGTCTGCTGAGTTCGGCGTTGCTCGAAGAAATCGAGGTGCACCTGAATGCGCTGAGGTTGGGTGACGTGCTGCGCGTCTCAGCGTAGTAGGCTCAACCCGAATACCAATTGCGTAACAGAAGATATTCCCCTGGTTGCGATCTTGTTACAAATGGCTTTCATTGTGGCAGGTTTGGACTAGGGAACTTTGGTGCACACGAGAGTTAACGAAGCGTGGTGTTTTCTGCCAGGTATCCGTTTTAAAGTTGTTGCCGGTAAATTGGACTGTTTAGAAGGCACCAATGGAGTTTTCGATGAAAGTTGCGTGGCGTCACGTTTGCTCGGTAGAGAAGCTGGACCTACGTGTGTTGCTCCCAGTGTGTTTATCGAGGCAATCGATGCGTACGTTACCTGCTCCTAATCTGCGTCGGATTGCCTTCGGCTCTGAGCTGTCGGTGTCATGGCTGAATCTCCAAGTGAAGCGCCTATGGTTGGAGAAGTGGA